CGCAGGGGATGGTCTTTCATGAGATTGTGATTCTTACCACAGGCAATACCAGAGGACTGGTTGAAGTGAGTGAGACAAGTCAGTATGACTTGGGGCGCTTCCAGGTGGCCTGATTACTCACACAAAATTGGGCTTCTTTCTAATGCAGTTATCCTGTTGCTTTTCAAGCTACAAAAAGCCCAGTACGAAAATCCAGGGAAAACCGCAGCAGGAAATGCAGAATAACACCTGTGAAGTGGCAGTGTCATATAACCTACACATAGACATATCAGAATTAATGCTCAATAAGCGCTTACATTGGAAAATGTATATATAAACACAATAGCCATACAATATATTCAAACACACACACATAGCCCCATAACAGCGACAGAAAACTTTGGCAGCACACTACCAATAAACATTCAACACACTGTGACTGTTTTGGTTTTTTTTAGCTGCTTTGGAACTGCTATTGTTACACTATGAAAAATAAAATTTACAAAAGACCCTAACAATAAACGAGACAATACTCTGGCCCACTAATCATCAGATAAAAACCTCAAACACTGATCCCTCTGTATTTCAGAAGTCAGACACATTTATTTTTATTTTTTTAAGTGCTCTGCACCCAGCCCAGGATCAAGGCCAGTTGATGCAAATAAGTGAGGGAGTGGTTCTTTAAAAGGGGTGATCCAGTGGCTCTCTTCTCTCTGCAGGGAGAGCAGGACAGCAGCATTTAATGTAAAGCAGGGAGAGATGGCAAAGGTTTACCTGCTCTGCAGTTGTTCTGACTGCTTCTCCCTTCAGTCACTTCTGGGTTTTGTAGGTTTGTTCATCATGAAATTTCATATTTATTTTTTTTGTTACTAGGTTAAGTACGTATTTCCGTATCCCTCAGTATAAAAACTCCTGATTGTTACTGAAATCACCTGCTTGATAAATAATGACTCATGCATTAGTTGTTGATTATCTTCCTTTGTAACTTCCTGCTACTGCTTGCTTGTGTTGGGTTATCGTTTCTCCTATATTTTGTATTGATCTTATACTGGTTATGTGTTTTGGTGTTGTTGTTTTTTACATTCCTCGCTAAAATTGGTTGGCTGGAAGTTTGAGTCCAACACAAGCTGCAGGACCTTCAACCTTGTTTTATAAATTTACCTGGGAGTATGACTCATTTAACTTCATGGGACTTTGGAAAAAACATGTATATGTTTGCATTCCCACTCTAAGCCAGGTGTGCATATTGCCCATATCATTTTCATAACTTCCCTGACACCTACATATGGGGTTATCTGATCATTCTTTACTCCTAGTCCTATTTTACAAGGAGGACAGGAACAAGACAGTGTAATGCCGTGCTTTATGGTTTAAGTAAATATATTGCTCTGGTACTCCTGATCATTACAGTAGCCTGGAATTATTATTTAAAAAAAAAAAAAATACTCAGGCAGTCCAGTTCTCTTCGTGCTTGCTAAGGAGTAAGCTGCATTGAACACACATTCCCTAAACATTCATTATTATGCATTCAACTATAGAGGCAGAAAAATATCTCTTGGCTCTCATTATGCTTGAAACAAAATAGATTTGTTCATGCATCCAAGTTTGAAAGCATCGCCAGTGTTGTCAGAATCTTATATGAGTTGAGAAGAATGGCTGTCTCATTACATTACACTGTGTTTACATCACATAATGGCAACATCTGGCTATGGGATGGACTGGTCTACTGCTTTTGCAATTAGCTAAAGATATTTAAATGATCAATTTGATTTTGTTTCTTGAAGCAAAAATTTCCAGCTCATGTCACTTATTCGTCTGATAGAATCTTGAGGATTCTGGTGAATAAATTTCAAGTAACTGCTAGAAACTGTTCAGCTACAATGAGCAGAAGGGAAAAGTGCATCGAATCAAGATGTAGCCTTTGGACTCCTTTTGTCAAATATACTGAAACGAATTGGTCCATAACGCTAAGACATGTTTTCAATCAAAGCATCCAAAAGATACATTTGTAGCCTTAAACTACTAGACATTATTAGAAGCTATGTTTGCTTTTATCTTCCGTCTGCCCATAAAACCTAAAGATGAATGGGCAGGCACAAAAACTTACTAGGGGTGCTTGACATTAGTTGTGCCCCCCACCTTAACTGAAGTGATCCTCCTCTAGCATCCCCCACTGGAAGATAGACACCTCTTGGTGGATGCATGATGGAGAGCAAATCCCCTCGCCCCATCATGGCACCGTATTCTGCCTCCAATGTGGGGAATGCTTTATTTGAGGACCAGGATGGGGTGGGGTGAGGGAAGAGTAACTGCTTCCAATAGCGGTTTCATCTAGGTTGCTGCTTTCCCCATGCTTTGTTAGATAACTGAGGACCCTTGCAGAGCATTGAAAGGTTATTGCCTCCTTCTGCCTGGCATCATGGAACACACGGGCATTTCCTACTAGGAGTGATGGGAAATGTTCATCTCCCAAAATGGAAGTAGTTCACCATCAACCCCAATCTCTGGACCTTTGAAAGGGGAATGGTTTTCATTAATGCCATGACTCGAACTAACCTGTTTAGAAGAATCACCTTCCTGTGAGCATTTTTATTTATTTTCCAAGCACATAATGCCACTTCTCAGTGAGGTAGAAATATATACAAAACTAAGGGAGGCTCTAAATGTTCCTACTGCACAATTTATTAATGGGAGTCACATAGAAGCATCCTATCTGAGTCTGTTCCTTAGCACTTAATCTAGCTGAACGTCATTTGCAGTCCTTGCTGTTAAGATACAACCAAAAGGGAAATGGTTGTCTTTTTAGCTACCTTTGCACCTGAAAAAAATATCCATGCTAGTCTTTCACGGACTATGTTAACAAAAGCATTCATATTTAAAAACAACAACAACAACAAATGCTGCAGTAATTTGTTTTGAAAGCATGGCAGGCTCTAGTTTCCACCATTCTCAAGAATGAAATACTATTCTTTGTTTTACATTTTGTTTTTTAAAAAATGAAATATTTTCTGGAGTGCATGACTAAGGCAATGATTTGTTTTCATAAGTTCAAATAAAGACTCTAGAAAAAAATGCTATTGCACTTGTCAGGAGAATAATGACTGTGACTATTAGGCTGAATTGCAATACATGAACAGGCACATTATTCAAAGGCTCTTCAAGTCTGGAGAAATATATTTAGTGAATGCTATTGATGGAAAAGGAAGAAAGTTCATTTTAAAGTCAGTCTTACCACTGCTGATTCAGTACTGACAAGTTCTTTGTAAAGGTCTTGTAGTTTAAAATATAATAATGACTTGGACTTGGACGTTTCAGTGCCTTTTTGTCTCTATTGTGATTTTAGCATTTTAACATTTAAAATTAAAGAATGGTTTTCATCTGGTGTCGTTCTCCCCCTTCCCCTTCTCTCTTTTGCCTTGCTCCTGTCACTTTACATGGGAGATTGCCTCCCCATGGGTTCAAAACTAATAATGCAATTCAAATTTTATGGTGCAATGACAGCTAAACTGCTACTCAGCCCTTTGCCATTACATATAGTTGCTCACTTTTTTTTTAACAGCAATGATATCAATCTAATACCAAGGCTGCAGTCCTATTACACTGAATTCAGTGTGTCAGGTTTTTTTAAACAGACAACCTAAATCTCAGCGCTACGTATTGTTTTCCATAAAATGTACATAATTTGTAAATTCCTTCTTCAAAATCCACCTTGCCTGAGGGATGTCTAAACTTGTAAAGGAATGTGCTCTGCATATATTCAGAAAGTTGGATCCTCCTAACAGAGGGTCCATGTTATGCTCGGCCCTGAAAATCTTCGCTAACCGCTCCAAGCTGCTGGTGCCACAGTTATGCCAGGGGCCTTTAGCCAATCAGCAGTGTGGCAAGGTTGGGGATTGGGGGGTATCTATTTGGCAGCACGACGTAGAGACCTCCTTTTCCTTTGTGCTGCCGAACACCCGCCTACCCATTAATTAGGTCATGTTTGGCCTTGCTTTGGACTTTGGTTGGTCGCCTGTTTTGGAATGGGGGCCAGGTAGGAATTTTTCCCAATGTGGCAGATTGGCTGTGGCCACTTGGTTTTTGCCTACCTCTTAGCAATCATCACAACTTTGTAAGGTGTGGCGGTTAGGTATTGGTTTAGGGGAATGTGGGGAGGGGAGGTGCGACCATCACCTGTCCCTCCAATGAATAGAGTATTCCGTTAAAGGAATCCGGGGGTCTGGATCTCCTCCGAAGCTCGGAGAGGGGCTAGGGCCATGCCAGGACCCCTGGGAACCCCAGGGGTGAGCACCAGTCTATATACATTGATGGAGCTCCCCCTGCTTTACCCTTCCAGGCTTCCTGCAGGGTGGGGCAGGAGCCAGATATAGTTTGATACCAATGCCTAAACCAATACCAGTCACATTTGTGTATTTTAATTAAGTTGTGGCCAAAATTTGCCCATTAACATTTAAACTAAATTCTGTCTCCACTGTGTCTTTATTTCCATGGGGGATGGGTTTTGGGGCTCGAAGCACAACAGCTAGCTCTATTTCCATCAGTTCATACAATCCAGATTTCAGAGTTGCCTTTTGGTCACTTTCTTTTGGGTTCATGTGTGCATACATACACACAGCACCACAACCATCACCAGCTAATGCGCACTCACTGTTTTCTCTGTTCCTCACTGGGTAAATCCTTGGAATTTATAAATAATTCACTTTTGCATAACATTTTCTTTGACTATTAGCTGCACAAGAGCGAGTTCCTGAACATGAGCAAACTGACCTGCCATCAAACCCAGAGAATCTTGAAGGTGTTTAGCCCATCTCCTCTTATAATACATCATATTCCTTAATATCCAACAAGGTAACATTCTGAGAGAATGTTGCTGCTATTTTGCCCCAAAACTAGCTCCTCTAATCATTGTTCCACGTTTTAAAACAAAACAAAACTAGCAACTCTTTGATTCTAGAAAGGAGAGTGAACAAGAGACGGACAACACCTTATGCAGTCTACACAGCAAATGAAAGCTCCAATTTGTTGGGTTACAAATTCTTATGAAAACGGAGCAGATAAGATCAAACACAACAGCACAGGGTCCACCTTTAAGCTGAATACACTAAAGAGTAAAATTTATTCTACACACACACACTTGATCTTAGCCAAAAGGCCGAGAAGCGATAAAGTTTATTCATCTCTGCTCCTATAATGTTAACTTTTGTAGCTTGATACTAAAGCAGATTTTCTAATTGCCAGTTGTTGATAATGAGCTGCAGGGGGAAAAATCACTGTTCATTTCACATCATTGTATGAAAGGTCACTGAGAAGTCTTTGTTCTTGGTTTCTGTCCCCAACCCCTTCCTGGGAACGTGGGGCCTCTTCAGGTACTGTCTGTCTGTAAACAGCAGTTCTGCTGCTTCTGTGTGCTGATGACTGATGCCTTGAATGAACACCTGTTGCTCTAATTCTTTATTAGTTTTCTAGTCTATAATTCATAGTAATCAACTTTGAGCTCTTTGGTGAAGTATTAGGGATTGCCTACTGCTTCACAAATTGTTGTACTTAAGGGCGCAGAAGAACATAAGCCTTTGAAACAATGAATTTCGGGCAAGGATAAATCCTGTTTGATCTTCAGCATATTCTTACATTTATCAAACTAAGAATTTTTATTATTTGTGTCTATCATATTTTTTTACCCTTAGTTATATCATCCCCTGGTGCTCATACTGTCTAATATTTTAAAGAAACAATATAAAGAGCTATCACAACACTTGCTAATATTGCTTGTTGTGATAGTAATAAAAGATTTGGAGCATCATTGTTGTTTTCCATAGGCATACCTGCCCAATTTGTTTATTGCATTTCACTGGCAAGTGTGATACACGTCTGACTAGTGGGGTACGAGAGCTGAAAAAAATCACATCTTGCAACCAGTGCACCCCTTTGGTTTCAGATAGTATATGGGTAGATGAGTCTAAAAAGCCCAGGACACAAATTTTCATGGTTATGGTGGCTCATTTTTAAAAGCATTTAGAAAAATAAAAAAGCTTTTGAAGTATCCTCTTCCAAAACTTCCAAAATACGCCTAAGAACAATTTAGCTTGGAGTTATCATTTACTTCATTCCACAAGTTTGAAAGGGGGGCATTTTTACTGCTCCCAGTTCTCCCAGCACCAGTTGACATTTGATGGTGTTTCCTTGTCCTCTGAAGGGGGTTCTGTGCAGCCGGGGCTATTGCTCATCTACATCTTCATTCAAAATGATGCTGACCTGCTTCCTGTGTCACACGGTGCTATACCATTTCACAGTCTTCCCCACTGTGTGAAACAGGCAACTCTTTCCACTGATCCAAAAGGAAAAGATGAAGAAGTTCAGAAACCTGCTGCTATATTTGGAAAAACATATGCTACTAGAAATATGTCACATTTTGCTTTTGGAAACAAAATTGTTGGCGTCCCCAACTCTTTCACTGTTCAGAAAAAAAGCAGAAAGGCAAATGAAGGACTGGGGACCTGTTGCTATAGTGATCTAATGAAGATCTAGGCAAAAGACATAGGAGTCCTGCATGCGAGATGCTCAGTGCCCAACACCTGCAGTCTAGTAGGATTTAAGAGTAATGACTTGATGTGAAAGTAAATGTAGCCTTGCAGCAGAGATGTGCTTCCCTTTTAATTTAGATTTAAAAACAACAACAAGGTTTTTACCCAGTTTTCTTCCACTGCATTTCTTTATTTCATTTATCATTTATGTATTTATCTTTATTTCAAATGTATACCTTTCCAACCCAGCCAGGAGTCTCAGATAAATGTGAATGTAATTGTTACAGCCAAAATGCTTGAAAAAGCAATTCCTTAGAAGATGTTCCCTCTGCGAGTGAAAAGCAGCCACTTTTGCAGCATCAGACAGCACCGCATTATTTGTTCAGATTTTTGTCCAGCAAGGTTTGGCCTGCCAAAGCTCTCCTGGCTATGCAGCTATTTCAAGCTCACAAGCACCTTTCCTAATGCCAGGCAGTGGCAATCCAGCCTACAATCATACTTCACTTTCCATTCATTCTATTGTGCCAGTTTAACACTGTGCCAATGTGTTTCTCAGGACTTTTGTCTTGAATCATAGGCAATGCTGCCATGAAAAGGATCTCTGCTAATTGGATCAGTATGTTATAGCTAGCAATATGTTTACTTTGTGTGTGTCTGTTGCCGTTTTCTTCCTTCTTTCTTCCAATTTATAAGCAGCCTATATTCCTCCTAGCTCATACTATTAACAAGCTGGACACTTCCCTTACAAAGTATATCAAATGACAAATGAAATTGGTTGTATGCCTACCAGTGAGTTCAACAATAATGTTTAGTTTGTGTAATGAAGCTTAAGGTTATAGTGACCTAAAGCTGAAACTTGTCCGTATTGTTAAATCTTTTCCCCAGGGTTGGTGCTAGTGTTCAGTTCAGCTGTGAAGACAATTATGTGCTCCAAGGTACGAAAAGCATCACTTGTCAAAAGGTGACAGATACGCTGGCTGCTTGGAGTGACCATAGGCCAACATGCCGTGGTGAGTAGTGTTCATTGGAGGGAATAGGGTAGGGCACTGCAATTACTCATGCCAGTTGAAGTGTGTCATAAATTGAATGAATGGTCTTATCCAATCTTGCTCTTCATCTGGGTTTTCTATTATTTTGAACATCCTTTAAGGTTATGGACATGTTTGGCAAAGTATGTAAACTTGAACTGTGAAAGTTTGCAGGGTTGTTCACCCACAATGTCCTATGTATGGGCCAAAGAGACACATGTGATATGCATAATCTTTCCAGACACACACATTTTGAGCGACAAGGGTCATGCACATGTCTGCTCCACGCATATGTTAAACCAAAGAGGAAGTGATTCTAGTGCCCCTTTCCATATTCAGTATACACTTTGCTAAACAGATCTACAGGCCTTCTGTATGTCATTTGCTGCCTATTTTTTCCCAGTTCATCTTTGTTTTGGCTACACTTTTGTACTTCTGGAGCAGATCCCATCAGCCCTAGTGAGCATGGCCTCTGGCTAAGAACAGTGGGAATTGCAGTCTAATTCTGGGGCATGTAGACTGGATTTTGGGAAGTAGGGTAGGGATACATGTATTTATATTTAGTGACAAAGCATAACTAGGGATCTTTCAGAAGAAGAAAAAAGGAAACAGTAAAGAAAGTCCAAATTTCTCGAGCTGCAATGGTTTCTCATGTCCAAGTCTCAAGAATGTACTAATAATACACTGAGATTGTGTCAAAGACTTTTTGGGTCCAAGCACTTTAAAAAGAATTCTGAGCACAATGTTTAGTTTGACTTTTGTTTGTTTGTTGTTTATTTAAAAGCATTTCTAAACTGCTTAATATTTGCAAGTCTCTTAAGTGTTTTACAAAAAAAAAAATACAGCATAAAAACAGTTAAACAGTATCATTAAACAGCCTCCCCCCACCATAAAACAGCATTCTATTTTTTTAAATGATATTTATTAAGAATTTTAAAATTACAGGAAAAACAAAAAAGAAAAAGAAAGAGAAAAAACAAAAGAAAAACAAACCACAATCAAACAATACAAATTGATAAAAATCAAAATCAAAAAATAACAACAAAACACGTAACAGAGCACAATAAAAAAACCAAATTAAGCCACAAAAATTTAAAAACAAATCCAATATTCTCAAATCCTTAACTGTCATTGCCTTCTTTCATTGACCTCCTCACTCCTCCCTTTTTTTGTATCCTAGTTGTTAATTATCACAGCAAATCCTTTCCATTTTTCATAATATTCTGTCATTACATTACCTTAGTCTATTTTAACCTTATCTTACTATAAAAAACCCTAGAACTTAAAACTTACATCTTATTTATACCAATTTCTCATACCCATAACATATTCTTACATAATTCTTTTAACATTTTTGCTAAAGCCAAATAATTTCGTTCCAACATTTTTCTAACATTCATCAATTTTATAAAGCAATCCTAATAATTTTTTTTTTTCAAATTTTCTTCCAATCTTCATCCAGCGTCTCTTCCTCCTGGTCCCGGGTTTTGTCAGTCCTTTCTATCCCATCAATCTGGCGCATTAACCTGGTAATCTTATGTCCGAGGCCCTTAAGTCTCTTCCATGTCCCTCTTCTTCATATTTATACCTGTACTTTGCTTTGTCTCCTGCTCCTTTCACTCGTGGGAACTCCAGCTTGACAGTGTTTTTGACCCTTCTCGACAAATCAGCCCCTTTTCCATAGTCCACACTAAACTCCATGTGGTGTTTAGAAACATGTTTCAACGTTCCTCCAGAATTAATTGCCCCCACAACCCCAAACATCTCGCGGCCCATTGCCAGATTTGGAAAGTCAAAACATCCCTGCATAGGGGGGTCTATCCAACCCCTCATTTCCATACCAAACAAAACTCTATCTCTCCAAATCTGGCTTTTTCCAAGTTCATTTATCAGATTCAACAACTTATGTTCCTGCTGGGCCACAACTCCCTCCACAACTCCCTCCATCCCTCCATGGCACTCGATGTTCAGCAACATCTTCTTCCCTCATCTGATCTGTCAGAGCACACTCCTGATTTGATTCCTGGATGGGCTCTATATAGTTACCCACTACCTGTCCAAAATTTCCGATCGCAACAGTCATCAGGTCCGTCTTCTCATGTAGCTGTTCCAATAGGGCACTTGTTTTGCAGAAAGCACGCACCAGAGCTTCTGAATACATTGTTCTGCAAGGTCAGAAGTCTGTTCCCACGATCGTAATCTGTTGCAGCTGCAGAGCTCCCCGATTCAGATTTAGTAACAGTTTCACAGGCTCCCTCTAGGGGAAGAACTTCTATTTGTTCTTTTCTTTTAAAGGCAGATCTAACAACAAAGTTTCCTTTTTCAGATATTTTGTCAATATTTGTTCCTTTAAAATGCAAAGAAGAACAATGGAATCACTATGTTTCCCTTCTTTTAACTATCTGTCAAAGACGTTTGTCTATGGTCAATGAGCTTCCCAAAGAACGTCAGTCCTGACACCCGGCTCCCAGGTTCAAGACGGTGGAAAATTACTTTTCTTTACACTCTCTTCTGCAGGTTTAAACAGTCCGGAAAAATCCCCCCTCTTCTCCTGCTTCCAAAGGGGGTTCAACAATTTTAAATGATGAAAGTTAATCCTTTACAAACGATTTTCT